TAGCTGCCATTTGGGTGCTGGGAATTGAATCTGGGTCCTCTGCAGGAGCAGTCAGTGCTCTTAACCATGGAGCCATCTCTCCAGCCCCAAATCTTCAGTCTTGATGTAAGCAGACTGTCCCACCATACCTGGCTGTGGCTTTTTCATAAAGAAAGCTTGCCTTTGGAATAACTGACACACAGAGTATGGTCCACATGTCTTTACACAGGCTTGCTGATTTAGGAGGCTGATTTTGGGGTAGTATCTGGCTGTGTTGTTGAGAGCCAAAGTTGGGGTAGTTGTCACCTATGTGTACTGTCACATTAATAATCTTAAGTCCTTTCATTACTAATGTGAAAATTTATATTGTATATACAGAAGTTTATTTTTCATCATTTTGCTCATTTTGAAGTTTAGCTCTAAACTAGAATAGATGACATTCCGGAGACTCTTAGAAAATACTGTGTTCAGAATAAGTAGGCCTACTCTTAACATGAGTTTATCTTGGCCACGTAAATATTTATCATTGGTGCCAAAAAATCAGTATTGGATAATAAAGTGCAAAAATTGATGGATCAGCATTTAATGGATAGATCAAGATAGGGGCAAATATGAAATTCAAGAGTTAGTACAGATGGCTGGCTGACTTCAGTGCGATGGCCGCATGGCGGGGACAGTTGTACAACTCTTCAGTTACTACATGTCACTTGTCCTGTGGCACAAGGCAACTTTGCTGTGTAGTATATCTGTGTGATATTTAAATTCTCTGAATAGCCGTAGTGTCCCGATAGACATCCCGATAGATATCTGCTCTCAGTATGTATTGACTTCTTTTTCTTTTGATACCTGTGCAAGGGTAAAGAGGGAGATAAAACTATCATTTTTTCGCTAATGTTTTTGAAATTTCCTTGTCCTGAATTCACATCCTGGGCCTGAGGTTTTTGTGTGCTAAAATCTCTGACCAAGCAGTTCATTCGACCTGGTGTATGTTGTTAAGAAAGCTATCTGTGAGTTCTTTACATTTAGTATTCTTCATTTTGGATCTCATCAGCATTTCCAAAGTAAATTTGGGGACTAACATGGAAATGATAGATTGTCAGAATTAAGAGGAAAATCATCTTAAGGCTGTACTCCTGTTTTTATTCCCGAAGACATTGGCTCAAATGTCATTAAGCTTCTTTGGTGGCACCAAAAATATAAGTCCTTAGTATGAACCAGTGGCTGTTTAAAGCTTAACTGCAATAAAAAGCCTTTAAGAACGTCTAATTAAGGTGGTGTTGGTGAGCCTTGATTCATGAATGGGTTGAGTAGTGTTTGTTGTTAACAGAAACACTGTGTTCCTTTGCTTCCTGGGACGGAAAGACACACAGTGCTTCCTGGTGGATAATTATGATTTATGGGATGTATAATGTGTAGACTTGTTAGAGCTTAGGCTGTTAACTGCTATATGATCCCTTATTTGGCTTTGAAACTGTTCTTTTAATATCCGTGCAGCTGAGGTAAATTTTCCATTTATTTTTTATTACTGCTCAATGCTGCCTTGAGGCTTCTAATTGGAGCTGATACAGTAGCTAATGAGGATGGCTCGAAATTAGAGCCACACCTGTTAGTCTGTAGGCTGATCCGAGAATGCCAGCAAATATGACTGAAAACCAGGCCACTACTGGTACAAAAATGAAACCTCAAATTCTGTGAGATGAGTCCAAGTGGGAACATCCCACTCCTGAGAGCACTATGAGAGAGACTGCATGTTTCTAGGAAAATAGCTGTGATGAGGCCACAGAGCAAGAGGAATGAGACAGGATGGGAGGCTCAGGTGTGTGTCTTAGCTGTGGGAGGCCCTGGAGGAAAGTCAGCAGCCAGTCTTCAAATAGCTTGCACAGATCTAGGTGATGAGAAGAGGCACAGGTTGACCCCTTAGAGATACTGCTGGAGCTAAGGAGATACTGCTTTGCTTTCACAATCAAAATATGCTTCGTGGATGGTTAACTGCAGAATAATATATATCTCAGTGAAAACAAATGATACATTAGAAGGCTTTTTTGTGCCACTTTTTGGTACTCATAGGAAACTGAATTTAAAGAGCTTCAAGTTCTGGGTAAAAGGACATCTGGGTAAAAATATGCTGCCAAGGGCTAAGCTCACCTCATACAAATTTTGTTAGGTAGAAAGTTACTTGTAACTGAATAGTATATAATTCTGCTTTGTAAATGTAGTTGTGTAATGTTATTTGAACTCTGCCAAATAACCTTAGTGTAAGTGATCTGTAAAGATGAATGACAGCTCACACCTGAAATTCCAGTACTTGTGAGGCTCTAATAAAAGGATTGCCACGAGTTCAAGGCCAACCTGAACTACAAAGTACCCTGTCTCAATAAAACAAAACAACAAAAAAAATTATTTCTAGTAGCCTAATTTACCAGTGGCAGATCAGCGAAAATTGTGTCCAGGAATTAGGTATATAGCTATTGACATAGGCTTTTATTGATTATGACAATATCTGTTATTAAAATTTTCACATTGCCATAGGGAAGGAAAATCAAAAGCACAGTGAGATACCATTTCATACTATAATAGCTGTACTAAGGCGGAAAATACCAAGTGTTGGCAAAGGATACAGACAAACTATTGTACATTGCTAGTAGGCATGCAAAACTAATACCACCACTGTGGTGCATAGCTTCAGGGTTTCCCACAATGCTGCATGGGATTACCCTGAGAGCCAGCTGTTGTGCTCCTGGATATAGCTCTAAAGAAAAGAAATGGGTTCAAACAGATGCCAGTACAACATCTTTGTTCACAGTAGCCAAAAGGTACACTCCAGCAGAATATCATCAGTGGATGAGTGTGTGAACGTGTGATGCATATGTTCAGTTAGATGTCCACACAAAGTGGAAGGAAGTTCAGACAGGCTTCTGTGTGGGCAGCCTCAAAGTCATTATGCTGAACTGAGCATTGTGCTGGAATAAGCCATCCTGAAAAGGACAGATTTGCATAATTCCACATACAGGAAGCATCTGGAATTGGCAGATTGACAGATACAGAAAGGATAGGATGCCAGGGGTAGGGGAAAAGAAGATTGGGAAATTGTTGCTTAAAGGGTGCAGGGTTTATGTTCAGGTGAAGAAAAGGTTTGGAAATGATAGGCTTGATGGCTGCCCCTCACTGTGAGCAATGAAAGCTGCTGAAGTAGGTGGTAAAAACGGTTACAACGCTGAATTCTGTGTTTGCTTTGCCTTGACAACATTTTGAAAGTTAAGGCAAAAATAACCAACTCAAGGGCAGCAGGACGTGGTGAGGGGGTATACTCAAGGTCCGTTGTATGTTGCATTATAGTGGTCTTATACAGCCCAGTATAATAAGAATTTTTTTTTTTTTTGGTCTTTTTGAGACAGGGTCTCCCTCTAGCCCCAGCTGTCCTGGAACTCACTATATAGACCAGGCTGGCCTTGAATTCACAGAGCTCCACCTGCCTCTGCCTCCTGAGTACTGGGATTAAAGGCATGCGCCACCATGCCCGACCAAATAGCCAGTTTATGACATGATGATTTAAGATCTGATTGTCCTCGCTTATGGACCTCACCTTACCATTCTCAACTTACTAAATGCTTTGAAAGGCCATAGGAAAGGTCAATGTTTGCTATATTTCTGTTTGACAAAAATAAATGAAACTTGAAATAATGAAATAGTAATGAAAACTCAGCAGAGATTCCCTTTGTCACGTACCCTGAAGGATGGGTCACCATGTGAAGGGTCCTATTAGAAGTAAATTATGGCCTCAGTGAGTTTCCTTACATTTCTTTAACCATATTGGCTGCCTTGCCATCAGTTGTGAAAATTTTAAATGAGATTGATCACATTAAAGAAAAATGGCTTGGACTGGGAAAACGACTGAGTGAATGCTTTCCATGCAGGTTTGTGAATGTGAACTCAGTCGCATGGAACACATTTAAAAAGCAGGCCTGGGATGGTGAGGTGGCTCGGCAGATAGAGCACTTGTCCTGCAGGCATGAGGACTAGGGTTTGGGTCCCCAGAACCTCATAAAATAACCAGCAGGCATGGCAGCCACCTGGAATCCCAGGAGGCAAAGACAGGGTCCCTGGGGCCAGCCGGACTAGCCAGAATTGGCAAGATCTGGGTTCACAAGAGACCTTACTTCAATAAATAAAATGACACAGAGGTACCTAATATTAACCTCAGGCCTCCACATACTTGCATGCACACATACATGCATCCCCGTACACGTACCCACACATAGCCATGTGAATGTTTCACAAAATATACCAAAGGAAAAAAAGCCAGGTATGGTGGTACATGCTTATAATTCCAGCACTAGGGAGGCAGAGACAGGCAGATCCCTGGAACTTGATGGCCAGCCAGGCAGCCTAGGTGAATCTGTGAGTCGCAGACCAGTGAGAGACCCTGTATCCAAAAAAGATAAGCACCTGAAGAATGACAGCTGGCACCCGTGCACACACATGCACACACACATGCACACACAAAGAGAAATGTCTTGATACAACAATTAATCTGATAAGTGATTTCATTTATGAATTATGCACAGAATCTTTTTGAATCTCAGAGTATTTACTTGGGATTTGTTATTCTAACCAGTGGGATCTATTACTGGTAATTCACAGCAAAACCAAACATTAAAAATGCAATTTTGGCAAAGACTTAATTTTTTTTTAAATTTACGTCATTTGTGAATTAAAATATGTGGTCTATGATTTCCTTTCATCTTTTTAAGTATGCTATCTAATGTGAAGATAAAATTAAGGATTGTATTGTACTTCCTTAGCTCTGTTTGGTGATTCGGACCATTTTAAAGTACAAATTGAAATTTTCCCTCTTTTCCTATGTCAGTTTTCTTAACCTTTTTAGACTTGGCTTTTCTCTTTATCACATGCATGACAAAAGGAGTTTGCTTGAAGTCTTCTCATTTCTCAAGAGTTAATGTTACCCTGTCTTCCCCATCTGCCCTGGGTCCCCATCCTGATGGCCTCTCTTGTTTCTGCAGTGTGTACTCGGGGCACCAGTCCATTCTCATCCCACCTTCCGAGCTGGAGACCAACCCTGCCTTGTGGCTGCTCGCTGTGAGTCAGTACAAAGTCCGGGACACTTTCTGCTCCTACTCAGTGATGGAGCTTTGCACCAAGGGACTGGGCTCGCAAACTGAATCCCTCAAGGTAAGCAGCCCCACTGGGACCTCAGAGCTTAGCAACTGCCCACCTCCCACTACTCTGGTCCCAAGATGGACACTCACACGTGGGTGAAGTCAGCATGGCCCTTCCAAAGAACCAAGGTGTGATCTGCTTGCAGATTGCTCATCAACAAAAAATGAGGTTTGGGTTTTTTTCAGCATGAATACTTTACCACTGCCACAGAAATTAAGCAAATATGTAAGGTAGTTTGTCTTAAGTTCCTCTAGCTTTAGCTAAAAGATCTTCAAGTTGTTTGTGTTTATAGAGGTGAGTGTGTGTGTGTGTGTGTGTGTGTGTGTGTGTGTGTGTGTGTGTAAGAGTTGTTTTTCAATGAACTTTACTATTTGGCATTGATGTTTAAGTGGGAACTTGTAAGTTTAGTCATTAATACTTAGTTCATTGGATCACACTGATTTTATATACTGTAACTAATATTCATTTTATAGCAAATTGAACAGTGTTCTGGTTTTATTTTTTCTTTTTATGATTGCCACTCTGTAAGACTACTGTTTTCTTCCATTTAAACTGAGGACATTTGGTAGACATGTTTTTATGGCAAGTTGAGTAGTCATTAGTTCCAGATAACAGGAGAGAAATACTATAGGCTCTATCTCATACGTCATCCCACTATTCATTGCCTTTGTGCAGTGTATATGTCTCTGTATCTTTGCAGATTATAGTTATATTTGTGAGTGTACTAATAAAAATAGTGGTGTACACACTTACTTCTTTTGCATTTTTGTTTTCCTATTCAGCCCAATGCAAGAAAACAGAATATGCAACTTTGATATTAAGCTATGTAAATAAATGTGCAATTATTTGAAGTTATATATTTATATGAGGAGAGTTATAAGGTGTAGTTATCACTCAAGTCCATCTATATCGTATTACAAAACAGTTGTGTATGTTTTCACCAGCTTTTCTGCTGGCACGTGCATAATAATAATAAATACTATAATCAAGTGATAGTTAACCACATTACATTTTTACCTGATGCCTACCACAGCTTTCTCAAACAGGATCAATTACTATATTCTCCTTTAAAAGATGAGAAGCTTAAAGTTTAGGGGATCCAGCAACTTTTCCACATTCCTACACTTAGGAATTAGAGAGCTAACTTTGAATCTCTAGTTGGAGTTACTGCTGCAAACCCCATTTGGCACAGCCTCTCAAACATTCACAAATAAAATTGTTAATTAGCATGACCCAGATTTTAGTGCTCCTGTGCAACTCTCTGCATATAATTATGTTTATGCACCATATTTAATGCCAAAGTTATCTTGAGAGCTGGAGGTGTAGGTCACTGTAAAACACATGCTTAGCATGCAGAAGGCCCAGCCTGAAAACGTGTAAAATTATGACGAGCTTTGTTTCCTCTTCGTTTAGGATCCTTGTCCTGTGTGTAACTACGCAAAGAACGCTTGAGGGACTGGTTTGGGGAGGCTCTGCATCAGCAGCTCTGCCCTCACTACAGCCAGTATTATTTGTTGCATACCACTACATTGAGATGAGGTCTTTCCACACCTGACCTTATCGCCCTTGCCTGGCTGGGTTGTGTGTGCTTTCACCAGGGAATGTCTGTGTTCCGTTTATTGAATTCCTCCCTTTGTGCTTTTTGTTGTGTACTTTAGCTGTCTAAATTTGCTGCAGAACCTGAGAAATGCTTGATGTGTTTAGAGTGGAAATGGAGATGCACTTGATAATGAGAGTTGGACTGTGACTTTTCAAATCTCATGAGATACAATGGAGAACTGTCATTGTGAAGTTGACTAGGCATTTTAGTTTTGCCTTTCTGCGTTAGATTTTCCCATTTCTCTCATGTGCCTTTTTTTGAGGTTGATTTTTAGCCTTTCTCTGTCTGTGTGTGTGTGTGTGTGTGTGTGTGTGTGTGTGTGTGTGTGTTGTGTGTGTGTGTGTTTGTGTGCACACTCGCGCATGCCACATGTGTATAAGTGCTTAAAGAAGCCAAAAGGAAAGTTGGATCCCTTAGAGCTGGAGTTACAGGTAGTTGTGAGTTGCCTCACCTGGGTGCTGGGAACCAAGTACATGTCTTCTGGAAGAGCAGTAAGTGTTTGTAACCTCTCAGCCGTCTCTCCAGCCCCCATTATGTTTAAGTCACACTTGTAAGAATGCACACTCTCAAAAAAACAAAACAAAACAAAAAAACAGACATCCAAATAAATAGTACTGGTTGTTTCTCTCTGGGTGGGTGTGGCGAGGGGGAGCACACTCTCCAGTCCCAATCATGTGTATAAACTTGTTAAGTCACACTTATATGAATGCACACAAATGTTTCCTCTTTCCCAAACCTTCTTGACCTTTCCTTCCTCATGATTCTTGATGTTGCTTGACATATGTGTACTATGCATCTTTGAACATTCTGAATATCTGTGATTTGGGTTTTTGTAACTGTCTCCTGGAATGGTTTAGTGAACAACTTGGGTTCAGGGGCATGATGAGCAGGTTCCTGTGGTATTCTGAGGGAAAGGGTGTCCAGGTCACACACAGCTACATCCCTATTTCCATTATCCCTGTCCTTATCCAGGCACGAGGACTGGACTTGTCCCGGGTGAGGACGTGTGTGGTTGTGGCAGAAGAGCGTCCCCGGATCTCCCTCACACAGTCTTTCTCAAAGCTCTTTAAGGACCTGGGCCTGCATCCACGGGCTGTTAGTACTTCATTTGGCTGCAGAGTGAACCTGGCGATTTGCTTACAGGTAAGTTTCATTGAAACCAGCAAGTGCTGAGCGGAAGATCGACTTTCAGTGACAGGTACGGTGCAGACCTACTCAACATATTTTTCTTGGCAGATGCTTAGCTACATGGGAAGAACCTACCTTCATCACAGATTGGTGCATACCAGTTTCTTTTTCTTTTATAATTGGAATGAGTATTTGTAGCCATCATTCACATCATTTAGTGTGTCTGGAATGTTCTAACTATAACAGGAGCAGTTCTTGGCCAGACCTCAGCTGTCAAACTTTTATTTCAGAGATTTAATACTAGGGAACCAACTATGTGGTCTCATACATGCAGACAGTAACTTCTGGAGGGAAAATTTTAGTATGTTCTGAGAAGTTGCTGCTGCTATGGCAACACAGAAATAGCAAGGCTGCATTTCTGTGAAATAGCCATGAGAGAGGCAGCGCTCCAGAAGAAGCCCAGCTGTGGCAGTAGAGGGGACACACTGGTGGTTTTTCTTCTCCTCATGCTCCACTTCTTGGCTCTCTTCACTGTTAGGAAGGGCTCCAGATGCCAGAGTAAGAACAGACAAGGAGCAGCCTCCTTAGTGCTTCATGTGGCCCCAAGCAGCACTGCCAGCCCCAAGTGGGGTGCAAAGTGTTCCCTGAGCACAAACACAGAACAAAACTGGGCTCACCACAGGTGCTTGGAGCAAATGGGCCAGACCCCATCCTCTTTTCCTCCCTCTCTTCCCAGCCACTGTCCTGCCATTGACACTCCCAAAGGTGGCTCTGCAGTCTGCTACTGGATGGGTCTCAGAAAGCTCTTGATCTGCTTCCATCCTGTCCATTTTAGGCGCTTGCACTTGGCCATGTGCAGAAGAGAGCATCCACACACATACATGCACACACTCATATGCACATATGTCTAGTCTCTGAGGAGATTGCAGCAGAAATGTAGCTACCAACAGCTTGTTAAAAAATACTGTTGATGTGGGCGTTCCTTGCTTTTATCTTTCTTCCCTTTAAAATGACTATATATTCTTTACAAAATACAAAATATGGCCAGGCATGGTGGCGCATGCCTTTAATCCCAGCACTTGGGAGGCAGAGGCAGGTGGATCTCTGTGAGTTCGAGGCCAGCCTGGTCTCCATAGTGAATCCAGGACAGCTGGGGCTACAGGGAGACCCTGTCTCAAAAAGACCAAAAAAAAAAAAATACAAAATATTAAATTCCCTAAAGACCCAAATTCAGTCTTGTCTTATTACTGGAATTAATTTTTTTTTTTTGTCAGATGAATTGGATTTTTCTTTTTTTTAAATGTTCAAGCTCTCAAATTTTTTCATATGCCAAAATGTGATAAATGCAAAGTAGGTAGGTAGGTGGTGTGTGTGTGTGTGTGTGTGTGTGTGTGTGTGTGTGTGTGTGTGTACAATGAGATACACTTCAGCCATAAAAAGGAATGAAATTATGTCCTTTGCAGGGAAATGGATGAAACTGGAGATCATCATATTGCATTCAATAGGCCAGCCTCATAAAGACAAATACTGCCTGTTTCATTTGTGGAATCTGGATTTTTTAAAAGATCTACAAGTAGAATGGAGCATATTTGAGGGGAGGGAGATCAGCAGGATGTGGGGCCAGGAGGAAGTGAAGGACGGTAAACATGAGCAAAGTACATTGTATTTATGTATGGGAAGGTCACGGTGAAAACTATTATTTTTTACAAATGTACACTAATTAAAATGTGGAGGCAAGGGATAAGAGGACAGGAATTTGGTCTCAAGAAACATTTGTGTCCTTTTTTTAGCCCATTAATTGACCTCTCAGAAAAGTAAGATTTAATCTTATTTCCAAACAAAAAATGATTTTTTCCCTGTTCCCCTGTCTTGGCCGTCATAAATGATTTTAGTCATCCTTTCTACTAGAGTGGGAGATGTAGATTTCCATTCTTGCAGAAATGCAGCATGATGCAGCACTTCTTCCTCCTGTTTATGGTGACATGTGACCCCCCTCCAGGGCACTTTTAAACACAAATGAAAATTGGAAGATAAAGGAATACAGTATATCTTTTTCTTAACTTTTGATTTTTCATTGATTTCCATCCACCTAGACCTACAGTGTTTTAAGATGGCTTACAAGGAATGAAGATAGTATGTAGGTCTTTTCCCTGAGATACCCAACATGTAAGCTCCGCTATCAATGGTCCTTAGCACCTGGCACCTAATATCTAGTTTACAGATGTGTTGTAACAATATTAAGTAAATGAATGGTCAGCTTCATAATATTAAGTCTATTATAAAATCTCGTCAGCATGACTGCTAAATTCAAAGTTGAGGTTACCAGTGAGCCATGGTCCTACTTGTTTTTTATTCTAATTTTCAGGCAACTTTTCCTTTTTCAAGTACAGTATTAAGTTAGAAATATCAAAGTGTCCAATAGGAGAAGTTATACCATACACAAAGGTGGACGAGCTTGTGGCCATCTGGGCCAGATGAACAGCAGAATCAAGCCTTGGGGGAAGGGTGGGGATGTATCTAAGAGACAGGATACTTGCCTAGCATGCACAGAGTCCTGGGTTTGATCCTCAGCATCATAAACTAGGTATGGTAGTGCATCCCTGTAATCCCTGCACTTGAGAAATGGAAGCAGAAGAATGAGAAGTTCAAGGCCATCCTTGGCAAGTTCAAAACCAGCTTGGAATGTCTGAGACTTTGTCTCAAAAACAAAGTTCTTGCTTTTTGCCAAGATGGCACCACAAGTGAAAAAGGAAGCTCCTGCCCCTCCCAAAGCCAAGCCAAGCGAAGGTATTGAAGGTCAAGAAGGCGGCATTGAAAGGCGTCCACAGCCACAGACAGAAGATCCACACATCATCAGCCTTCCATGGCCTTGGAGGCAGCCCAAATACCCTTGCAAGAATACCTCCAGGAGAAACATGCTTGACCACTAGCTGTCATCAAATTCCCCCACCACTGAGTCAGCATGAAGAAGACAGAAGACAACAACACACTTGTGTTCATTGTGGATGTCAAGGCCAGCAAGCACCAGATCAAACAGGCTGTGAACCCTGATCAGACCTGACAAGAGAGAATGCCTTTGTTCGAATGGCTCCTAATATGATGCTTTGATGTTGCCAACAAAATAATTGGGATTGTCTAAGCAGTCCAGTAGTCTAATTCTAAATACAGATGTGGGTTTGTTTTTTGTTTTTTGTTTTTGTTTGTTTTGGAGGGTAGGGTTTTTGTTTTTGGTTTTGGTTTTGGTTTTTTGGTCTTTTTGAAATAGTCTCCCTGTAGCCCCAACTGGCCTGGATTCGCTATGGAGACCAAGCTGGCCTCCAACTCATAGAGATCCACCTGCCTCTGCCTCCTGAGTGCTGGGATTAAAAGCATGTGCCGCCATGCCCAGCTCTAAATACAGGTTTTTTTTTTCACAAAAAGTTCTCTGCCTTTTTGAAATGACAGCAGATGTGCCATTTTGGACATCCCATCCCAGTGAGCTATGGGGTAGCCACCCATAAGCTCATACATCAAAGCTTCTGTAGCTCAGAAAGATGGTCCATCCATACTTTTGCTTAACTGTCAGCCTAGATACAATTTACCAGAAATAAATCCAGTGGCACAGTTTTGCTCTCCTTGAACATTTCTCATTGTCAGTATGATAAGCAGTAAACAGATTTTTTTTCTAGGAACTGTGTATCATCTGCTAGTGAGGAGGATAAAGAGTGATTCAGGTATAGGCAGGTACTTTGGGGCAGGTAATCAAAAAAGTTCTCTGACAAATACTGTTGCATCATAGGCTGTATACACAGAAATGATTGAACTGTGTGATAGTTTAGGTGATGACAAGAGGAAATGCAAACAGCTCGGCCACCGCTAGGAACAGTGCCACCTCAAATGTTCAAGGGTAAAATCATGCAGTTTTCCCAGTGCCCCGCAGACTCTGATTAGCTCAGTTTAAATGTGTATCATTGCTTTTCTGTTGCTGTGATAACACCATGACCAAGGCAACTTATGGAAGGAAGAGTTCATTTGGTTCATGGTTCCAGAGGGTGAGAGTCCATCATGGTGGGGAGGCATGGCGGCAGAGTGGCCAGAGCAGAGAGCTGAGCACTCACTTCTAGTATGGCGCTCTCTGCTTCCAGTGCCATGATGGAGTCTTACCCCGGCATAGCCAACTCCTAAAGGTTCCATGACCCTCCCCAAACAGAACCACCAAATGGTAACCAAGAGTACTTGGAGCCTGTAGGAGACAAACCACCACAGAGTGTATCTGAGGGGGCTGGAGAGATGGCTCGTTTGATAAAATGCTTGCCTTGCAAGGACCTGAGTTGGATATTTAGAGCCCACATTACAAAACCAGGTGTGGTGGTTTACACTTACCATCCCAGCATCTGGGAGGTGAAAAGAGGAAGACCTTAGCTGCCTCAGGGGCTGGCCAGCCTAGCCAATGAGTTCCAAGCCAATGAAAGGCTTCAAAATGTGTCTAAAATGTGGACTATGCCAGAAGAACACTTGAGGTTATCTTCTGGCTTCCATACATATGTGCACATGCACACACATGTGTGTACACATACATAAACATACAAAAATGTCAAATAACATGCCATTTTAAAGTTTAAAAAGAAGCCAGAGAAATGATTCAGTGGATAAGGGTGCTTTCCAAGGCTGATGACTTGAGTTTGGTCCCCAGAACCCATATGATGTAAGGAGAGAACCCTCACAGATTGTCCTTTGACTTCTGTATGTACACCATGATACACACACACACACACACATACACACACACACACACACACACACACACACAATAGATAACAATAATAAATAATAATAACAAAATAAAGGTAATTTAAAAATTAGTGTTTAACAAGGGGTAAAGAGGATACTAATGCATCTGTTAAGTCTCATCAGTGAAGCTCCCTCGTGCAACAGAGGGCCAGGAACACAAAAAAGATCACAAATAGCCAAAGTGCAGAGAGTAAGAGTCTGCAGAGTGTGGGTCTGTGCACAGGACTCTTACATTAAACTCCACC